AACCTTTATGCACCTCCGCAGTGAGATCAATCTCTACCATCAGATATCGAAGCAAGGTGGTCTAGGTTTTCTGAAGACTCTTTTGGAGACAATGTGTTGCCTTAATAAGTAATAAGTCGTTTGTGCGCGGACAGTAAGCGCGTGCGAACCTTCCAAATCTTTCACTCATTTTACTATCTAAAGGTAAGTAGTTATGTTTTCCATCGAATGCAGAATTTGGTATGATTGCCCATTGGTTAATTAATGTAAAAACATATGTGGCAAGGGCTTTATCTTGTTTGAAGCCTGGGAGAATATTGCACACGCACGCGATTGATGTAATTGTGTGTGTGTATGAAATTTATCATTTTGTATGGGTTATTAGTAGATGTTTGATGGTTGCAAATTGTGGCCTCTTGCAATATGTTTGGTGTAACTCTAGCCGTTGAAATTATTTGCTAATCGTATGTGGCCTCCGACTCCCTTTCGTTGGATCGTATACGCCAAGGTGTTTTTGATTGTTGGACTTATTGGTGAGCTTTAGATGGATCACTATCCCAACTAAATCAATGGATGCCATATTGCGTGTGATAACCTATAGTGTCACAACGTCCAATCTCCGTGGCATTGCTTGAATATTTTGAAGGGCAATGGAGATGTCCTCTTTTGACAAGAATAAGTCCTTTGTTTGCTGTGAAGGCACATTGAAGCGAAATTGAACATTTTCTCTTAGTCTTGTCTTACTTGCCAGGTGGATGAGTGAGAGATGGCGCGAGTTATCGTTACTATTTCCCGGGCCTACTATATCCAGTTCATATGAGCTTTGGTTGTGAAGAGCCTCTGATTCTTGACTCTTGACAATGCTGTCTGTGAGCTCGGTGATTATTTGTCTTCGTTCGACTTTTCTGTTTTATTCGTCCATGGTGGTGTTGTGGTTGCATGAGGTCTCAGCTTTGAATTCTCATACCTTATTTGCGGAGCGTCCCGTTTGCATTCTAATAAAAGATGTCTTGGATTCGGCACAGTGGTCCCATCTTTTCCTATCGCTCTTCTGGTGCTGTCTTTTTTTAAGACTCTCCTTTTTAATTTTTCTCTGTCGCTAGTATGTGCGTTGTTTTGGTTTTCTTGTAGTTGTTTTCTTTTCTGTTAATGAAACCAATTGTAATTGAAATGTGGGATTATTTACTAGGTATTTCATTTTCTAATACTTTTGGAACCTCCGTTGATACTAAACCAAACTTTTTGGTTCGTTTTCAATATTTTAGTTCCCATCACCCCAATGGATTTTACAATGAAATTTAGTGATCACTGCAATGCGTGACATCTAACATTAGCGTACCGCCCCATGACCCTATAACCCGCAGGTACCGAGCTTGAAGATCGACGGTCCCGAGACCCTTCAACTTGTAATATCCCCTTATTTTATCGTAATTGCTAGCCCTTTTGATTTTATTTAATTATTGCATTTTTCTTTACCCTTACTTAAGATTTTTTTAATGCCCAAGCCCAAGGGGCAAAATTGTCTTTAGTTTCTTTTAAGGCCTATATATAGAGGGCCATTTGTCTTGTATTTAGGATTGATGGATTAATAATAAAAATTTTGTAATGTGTTTGCACTTGGGTCTTGGGCAAGAACGTTAGTTAAATTCCTATGGGAGGGATTTGGAGTTCCACCCAGCCGGCCAGATGGCGTCCGGGCTCGTTGGCATGAAGTCCCCTTCGAGAAGGGCAACGTATATCCTGTCCGAGGCCGCCAGGAACAAATGCGTTCCGGGCTCTCGCCGGTTGTATCTTTACCACATTTTGCTTCTCTTGTTTTTTTGTTTTTGCTTCTTTCTTTTTGACTCCCTCGCTCCCGTTTATCTTCAGTATCATTCTTCTCCTCTCCCATCCTTTCGTTTTGGCCACCGGATCTCACACAGTTCGACACCCGATCACCACATCCCTCTTTGCCGCCGACCGTATCCCCACTCTCTTTTTGATTTCCTCTTAATGATTTGTTCCTCCTAATTATAGCGAATCTGGTAATCAATTGGAATTAATTCATGAAGTCTGCCTAAATTTGGCATTCAAATCCTAGAATTCAAAATATATTAATCCGAAATTGAGCTTCATCTATTTTTAGGAACTAGTAAATATTTGATTCTTAAGAAATTAATTTTAATTTTTTGAATTTAAATTACAAGAGGATTTATATTACTATAATACCTCTTCCTAAAGTCTAATAACGCACTTAAATCTATTGAGGCATGCTATTACTGTTGAACTTTTTCTCATTCAAATCCTCCTCCACCTCATCAAGCCGTTGCCCTCCCTTAATTCCTTGCCTTTTTTCCCTAGTTTAAGTTCGGCAGCTCAATCAATGCCTTCTCACTACTCTTACTAATGCTTGCGAAAAGTTCCCAGTGGAATGCAAATAATGTGACATTTCTCAAACTTCAAATATTTCCTCTTCTCCCATACCAAATCTGAAATTTAACACACCATATTTTCCTCCAGCTGCACGTTCTTTCTTTCCAGACAGCTGCCCCACCGAATCCCTGTTTGCCATCCAGAGGTTCGAGAACATCTTTTCCTGAGAGTCCAGGCCGACTACCTTGCCAAATTGCTGATTCAGAAAGGCCAGATTGCTGTATTTACAAAATTCCTGCTGGCTTCCCTGCATAGTAAACTCCTTATCCATAAGGCTCTAAACACTGCGCCCAGCATTTTCCCTAGCCAACCCAGAGGTGGATGTCCCAGACTTTGTGGACTCAAGAGATTTGTGATGTTGGATGATGAAATATATGCAAAACTGGTTGTCCCTTTGCCTGTAAAAGCTGCTGTTTAGACTTCTGGGAATTTGCTCTTCAAGACCCTACGATTCAATCCTCCTCCCCGTTCTACCATCAATCACATATCTATTATTGATAGTTTTAAAGGCTAGTTTTTGCTTTTTAGTTTGTAATAATTGTTTCTTCTTTGTTAAAAGCCAAATTACATTTTTTACTATTATATATATATATATATATAATATATATATATATATATATATATATAATAATAAAAAAATAAAATTATTATTCTGACTTCATTTTTTTTGGAAAGGAAAACGTACGTATACATGAATAAAATTACAAATAATAGACAGTAAGTGGTGAGAAATACACAATTTTATCCTGCCAAAAAAAAAAATTCAAATTTTCTGTTACAATAGCAGTAATCTTATAATATTAAACACATATATATTTTATACTTCCAGTCACCTAATGTTTTAATTTTTTAATTTTCTCAAAAATATTTATAGCTTCTCTGCCAAAAGCACAGCGCTCATGCGTTCAAAAACTGTTCAAAGACAATGAATGCGATGAAAATCAGTTCCTATCACCATTAAATTATCACAGTAATATATAATCATATTATAATTGAAAATCTATGATGCACAGATCCGGACACGACGACACTGATATGACACGACATGGACACGAGACTCGTTAGTTATTGAAAATATAGGACACGGATACCGGTTGAACGGTATTATAATTTTTAAATTTTTAAAAATAGTGTATAAAAATTAAAATTTATAATTTAAAAAATAATTTGAAAATAATTAAGTTCATTTAACTAAAATTTGTAATTAAAATGATTAGTATTAGGATGTCGAGAGTCAGACGTCGATGCCGTTTATCAGTCAACGAGAGAGGAGATGAAAATACCTTCACTACTAAAAAGAAATGAAAATGAGAATATTAATGATTGGCTATTAAGTGCGGACGTTGATTTGGTGTTGTGAATAGGAAATAAGAAATTTAATTTAAATTCTGTCAAATACAATAAATTATATTTTAAAAAAAATCATAAAATATTTAAGATACGTGTGTCAGACACGCATGTCTAATTTGTATTTAATATTTTTTTAATCAAACACGTTTTCGGCATGTCCGACACGTGTCGAATGAGTGTCGGGGCGAGTGTCGTGTCGGATACGGTGTCGAACACTGCACCCTCTTTAAGGAGAAGTGTCGGTGCATTATAATTGAAAATACATCAACATAATATATAATTGGATCTATTTGGATATATTATTATTATTTTTACTTTTCAAACTAATATTATATATATATATATATATATATATATATATTATTTATATATATATATTA